TAAGCTGCAATTCCTGTAACAAAACGGTTGACCAACATTTTAAAAAGGAGTTAGCTCATTTCTTGAAGGTCCGTAAGTGGTAGCGGTCAGGAAAAATCACTGGTGATAGACGATTCCACAAAGAAGTCGTGCGAGTTAGAAAATTCCTAGTAAATCGGATAGTAGTGGTCCGCCATGCATCCAGATCATAGATTACCATCTGTGATCCAGATGGTGTGAACTGTATCGTGAGTTTTGTCGATGAATAATTCGTTTTTATGTGATCACTAACAAAATCTCTATATATAAAAATTACGTGTCACGTTGTTTGTCCGCGATGGACTCCTAAACTACTCTACTGATTTCAATAAAATTTTGCACACTGCGTTCAGTTTGGTCCAACTTGAGAGATAGGATAGTTTTTATCCCGATAAATAACCCTCAATATTTTTTATTACGAATTTAAGGATTTTTTATAGGACAAAAGTCGACGGAGAGGGCAGAACAACGTCTGCCTGGCGAGCTAGTATATAAATATATTTAAAGTTGCTAAGTTATAAATAAAATAAAATTGTTTATTTCGAACAACTAGGAGCCATAGTGATAAAGTAATACTGGGTGTCCGGTGGCAGAATTAGGATTTAAATTTCGAACTGTTTTCGAACCGTTAGCGGAGGGGCGGGCGGGGGGGTCACGTTCGATTCGTCATTCGTGCGGGTTCCTTAGTCACGATGTCGCAGTGGACGGGTGAACAACGTGCGTTCGCAATCGAAGCTTATTTTAAAGCAAACGATTCCTGTGCTATTGCTCGTCGAAGATTTTGTTCGCGGTACAATATCCGACGGTTACGTGATGCGCCAAGCGAAAATTTGATTCGATTGTGGGTGCGGAGGTTCAGAAAAACAAGTTCAGCAGCAAATAATCCGCGGCCGGGATCCAGCAGAACGTCGAGGACTGATGACAACATCGAACTTGTCGCAAACAGTTTACGCGATAACCCGCGACAGTCCGTGCGTAAGAGAGCGGCTGCTCTAGGGCTCCCAAAAACGATTGTGCACGAAATATTGAAAAAGGACCTTAAACTTCACCCCTTTAAAATTCAAATTGTGCAAGCGCTTAAGCCTAATGATTACAATTGGCGCAAAAGTTTCTGCGAAACAATGTTGCAGCGATTTCGTACAGTGAACACAATCTTTTGGAGCGATGAAGCCCATTTTCATTTAAATGGAAGTGTAAATAAACAGAACTGCCGTTATTGGTCACCTAAAGGACAGAACCCGCGATTGAAACATCAACAGCCACTTCACAGTCCCAAAGTGACGGTTTGGTGTGCATTGTCAAGCAGAGGAATAATCGGACCCTATTTTTTTGAAAATCGTCAAGGACAAGCCATTACTGTAACCGGCGTTTCTTATCGGCGAATGCTTAACGATTTTTTCCTGCCAATATTAAGAGAACATCCTGCCTACAGTTCACAGACATGGTTTCAGCAAGATGGCGCCACGCCTCACACTGCTAGAGAGACCATGGCGCTTCTTCGTGATTTGTTCCCTAACAAATTGATAAGCCGTTTTGCTGACATCCCCTGGCCACCCAGGTCGCCGGATCTTACCCCCATGGACTTTTTTCTGTGGGGGTACCTCAAAAGTAAAGTTTATGAAACCGCCCCACCGACCATCTCAGCATTAAAAGAAAATATCGTTCGCGAGGTTAATGGCATCCCGACGTCCCTTCTCCAGCGAGTGGCGCGCAATACTGAAGCCAGATTCCAAGAGTGTGTCCGACGTGATGGTCAACATTTAGACGAAATAATTTTTAAGAAATAAAACCCGCACTTCCCTTCTTTGTTATAGTCATTGAAATAAAAAAAAATATTTTGCAGTTTTTTTATTATTTAATTTTGAAATCCTAATTCTGCCACCGGACACCCGGTATTAAGACTAATACGTAAAATAAGGAAACAAGTAATAAAGAGTTGAGGGAGTGCCATTAATAATTAAGTTTGATTACCTAAGTTTATGTAATTTCTATTATAATTAGGAATTATCTCAATAAATACGTAAGTGGTTCTATATTTTATTAGACTAACAATTCTGCTTTGTTATTTGCTTCTTTTTAGATAAAACCATTGTAATATTTTTGGTAGGTATATATTTACGTCAAGTATAGACAAATAATTTAAGACTATGCATTACAAGTTTATTACATAAAATAATACATATTGGTCCGTCTACTACCGTCTACCAGTCATTTATATATCGTTTGAGATACCTATTATAGGTTTTTGCTACGTTCTATTAAACGTATCTCGGAGTTATAAGTTAACGAAACTGTATAATTTAAAATTAAAAATTTTAATACCGACTTCAGTATACATTATTAAGTATAACTCCAAAACTATTGGCCAGATCTTGATCAAATTTATATGAGACCACATGAGAAGTACCAGCTTTCAAATAATAAAAGAATCATCGAAATCCCCAGAAAAAAGTTATAGAGGTAACACATATAAAAAAAGAAAAAGAAACATACAGTCGAATTGAGTACCGTTTCGTTTTTGAAGTCGGTAGAAGATAGTTCTGATCCTTACTTCTTACTACTGATGAATTATATTTGATACTAGCTGTTCCCTGCGACTTCGCCCGCGTGGAATTTATTACGATTGGTTTTCATCGGTTTTAATATTTTTGCGCGGAACCCTAATCCTTTTCTAAAATAAAATTTGCCTAAGTTACAGACAGACATACAGACAGACAGACGAATAGACAGGCAGACAGAATAAAATTTAAAAAAATGTTTTTTTTTTGTTATAAGTACCGTATATACTTTCATGTTATTTTGACATTACAAACAGACACTTCAATTTTATTTACTTATATAGATTATAACTTATCTGGTTTTTACTTTCTAAGATATCATAGACTATAATTCGGCTTAACTAATATTCAAGGAATCGTTATTACTTTACCATAAATTACATTACATAATAAGAATTAAATTATTATATACAGTTAACTATAGAGGAACGACCAATCAAAGATTCCGTGTCTCAGATAGAAATGGTCACATTTAATAGATAAAATCAAGATGGCCAAGTAAAGGGTGACATTAGTAACGGTCGTAGGTCAAAAGCAAATCGACGACAGATTTAGAAATAATTGGCAATCGGCGCTGCCTATCGATTTCGATCGAAACGTGAACCGAGAGAAACTATCAGAGCTAAGCAAACAATAAAATATGGATTGTAACAAATAGGTACCTGGTGGCTTTTGTTAACAATACATAGTATTTTATACGCGAAGTAACTTTATTCTTTATCTTTATTTTCTGAATTTCTTTTACAGACTAACGGTGACAGACGTACACATAGTCCACCAGGTTGTAAGTAGATGCTATGGCCCATAGACATCTACATTCTACATCTTTGATCGACAAACGTCAATCCTGAGGACTAATATTCAATACTTCATATGAAACACAGCAGCATTATTCTGCTATTTCACGCTGGTATTCTGTGAGAGAGTGGTCTTACCCCGGACGACCCATTCGTAGTGCAGCTGTACTGCTAACATAGTTGCAGCGTGGTTTTACCACTTAAAAAGGATTCATCTTAATTAACTTTATTTAAATCAACTTCAACTTAATTAAAATGTTTGATTAAAATTCGATGCATCAATACAATTACTTTTACTATTTAGGCTTTAGACCTTTCAATATATAATTATAAAATTAAATTAAATAACCTTTCATCATAATATATCAATCAATCATTATTTAATCTACTGTTACGATTATCAGTGATCGAACGGTTTAATTCTAAACCTACCGTAACATCAACAACTAACTTCTATTTACAAATGTGACTCGTAACATTTGGAGTTTGATTTACGTCATCTGAACGGAACAAATATCTTAACAAGTCAGTGAAAGGTGCAAGCACGCAGAAATTTAAATTAAATAGATCGCGGGACTAATTCTGCATTAAATGTAAAAAATCACACAAGCAATCCGAGTTGAATCTCCTCTCGCAAATAAAATTGTTAAATCTGATTTAAAGGACATTAAGGTCCGTCGACAGTCAATACGTATTGTAAGGTAGGAATACAGGATATAGCGTAAGTACATTTGATTTTATAATTATCTGCAATAATTTTTCGATACGTAGCTAGCGTAGTAGCTAGCGCAGACAATGAGTTTATCTTCTACTTTTCTTAATAAAAATAATAATATACCGTGGTTTTCAAATGCGTCACATGTCGTCGCAGTGTTCGCAACAGTTAGAGATAACACAATCGGATACCGCAGTGTTCGTCCGTGAATACATTTAACCCAGAAAATGAGCATACAACTATTACTGGAACAGGTATCGTTGTGACGCACCTAAAAGGAGCAGGGCTCTTTAAGCAATCGACTTATGTATATGGTAACGCGACCATGTATGGAAAATTGCCGAGAATCTAAATGGACCTAAACCGTTTTACTTTCAAATTCGGTTTAATTGATTTTTGCAAGGTCTAAATTGGCTTATTTCGAGTGTGACACCAATAAGATATTAGTGTCATATCATTTAAAATAAATTACTTTTATAGAAGAGAAATAATACGATTTTATCTCTCTTATATAAAAGTTTAGCCATTAAGATCGTCAGGAAAGAAAGCTGTAGGTAATAAAATATCAGAAATGGCGTTACTTATACTGTAAATCGTTTTATATTTTTTTTTTCAGAAGTAATGACGTAGTCTTCTATAAAATATATAATTTACTTCTATATAAGACATATGTTTATTTTTTATTTGTTTCCTCGTTTTCTTCAGCACGCAAAAGTCCTTTGCTGGACATGGGCCTCTCCGTTGTATAGAATCCTCCGTTACTCTTTAAATTAATTTTTTTTTCTAATTTTTCATAAACTGTTGTTTCAGATCACTCTCTAATTTTGATACACAATTGAATGTTGACGCATTTTTTTAAGTTAAATTTTATTCGAATTCTTATAGATAGAGTTAGTAAAAATGTAAACTTACCCGGGGGACAGTCGCATTCGTATCTCAGTTGATCTAGCGGCGTACACCTCCCTCCATGGAGACAGGGAGAGGGCTCGCAGGGTACGTACTCCGCGTCACAATCCCGCCCCGTGTATCCAGGCTCGCAGACGCACGTGTAAGAACCGTGGGTGTTGAAGCACCTCCCATGGTGACATGGCCCGGAACCGCTCGAACATTCCACCACGTCTTCGGTACATCGAGTGCCGGTGAAGCCGGGCGGGCAGGCGCAGGAGTAGCCGGCGGCCGTTGAATTGTCTGCAACGCAACGGCCACCATTTCTGCATGGTTGGGATGCGCAGTGGTCTTCGTGTGAACATTCTGCACCTGCGTTTTGGACGAAACGTTATTATTATTAATACATTATAGTATAATAAAACTAATGTAAATATTATTTTATTTTATTTGGCAATGTTCGAGAATTAACATTATTATAGAAAATTATTTGCCATATTTACGAAACTGGTTACAGCCAAGCACAGGGTAGCGATCATCTCATTGTCAGTAATTATTATCAATCATGTACTCTTGACTGGTATAATAACCCTTATTAAACAAATATATGCTTAGTAAGATTTTTTAACTTTTTAACTTTAATTCAATTTAATTTATTTATGAGACATAGTAGAATAAGTTGTTGCATGATGACATTTAGGATCATTAGCATGTCTTATAGGCCATCGGCGTAGAAATAACATCTCTATATATAAAAATTATGTGTCACATTGTTTGTCCGCGATAAACTCCTAAACCACTGGAATGATTTCAATGAAATTTTGCACACTGTGTGCAGTTTGGTCCAACTTGAGAGATAGGATAGTTTTTATCCCGATAAGTGACACTCAGAAAATTTTATTGCAAATTTAAGTTTGTTTTTTGTACAGAGTCAGAGGCAGTACAACGTCTGCCCGGCCAGCTAGTATTATATAAGTTTTAGTTTCTAGGGCATCGATAAAATAATTTTTTGATTTGTGTTCAATCTTTTTTCCTCTAGTATTCAACAAATACCGTTTTTATGGTTATCACGTAATCAATAATTTAAAATGTTAATGAATTCTCACGTGAATGTTCCACAAAAGTTGATAGGCTGACGGCCTTATAAAGTAGTATGGGTACGTCAAATCGATATTGTACATTAGCATAAATCTTATAAATTATCAAAACAACGTCCGATCCTGTTTCAAGAAATAAAAAAGATTATCAAAATAATTAAAAGGACAATGGCACAGATGTCCCTGATTGATTGAAACCGTTACAATTTAAAACACTTTTAAGAATTTTTAATTATAAATAACCAATGGGAGAGACGTGAATTCACAGAGAATTTAAAGAGGATATTCGTAATTAAAAAATGTGTGATATATTGAAAATAAAATTTTAATGATTTATAATGTAAAATATCTAAAGGTTTACGTTTGGCGATTGCTTGTAGGTTTTAGGTAAAGGCAGAATTCCAGCGCTGTGGTTATCCCAAATGCAGCTTAATGCTGAGTCGGATGCCTATTTAATGCTTCAATTATTACTTATGTTCTAAAATATTCATATAACATATATAGGTGATGTACTATTTTGTATCATCCGTTAAAGTTGTTTCTTTCTTTTCAATCGAAAGCAATTTAGAACTTTTAAATTTTTCTTAACATCATAGTATCGTTCATTTGATTTTAAAAACGTGTGAGTGTCGTGGAACACTCGGTTGGAACGAAGTTGCTTTCGTAGTATATTATTATTGATAAACGGAGGTATTATATTATTGATTAACAAATACAAATAAATGAATTACTAGCATCTATTAAAATGAAGCGTCATTTAAAATAAAATAATATTTCTTTAATAGCGAGATAAGTAAAAGTACAAGGGAGATGGATATTATTTCATCTCGCTTCCTTATAGCCGCCAAGGCCGTCTACACTACGTCGGAAGGGGTCGTGACGGCAAAATCTTACACTTTTTGTCGCTTAGCAAATCGCCGTCCGATAAATAACTTCCTTCCAATAAGCTTTCTATCACCATCGACTCGCAAGTGATCCATAGGTGGACATGTGTTTGTGCTAGTGAGGGATATGAAATATACACATATTTAGTGCAACATTTTACGCGGATCGGCGATCTCGAACTGTCATCAGTCGTAGACGTCTCGTATCTTTGACTTTGACCCTGTTTCCTAACGCCACATTGGATATTTTACATCTATGTAACATACGAGATGGCTATTCCGCGATCTTCCGGAGGTCTGAAATATTTCAAGCATTTTCCTAGTCGTCTCTTACGAAACCCATGGGATAAAAGGGGTTTATAGACTGTAGCGCAACCGCACGGCAAAGTGCTAAACAAATATTTTACACTTGTAAACCATCAAAATCATTGATATGAAAACAGTTGGAAGCTATAAATAAGACAATTCGTATTACAGCACCGCACGTGTAGTAATAGGTGACTAAAATAATATTAACGGTTCCATACACTGAATCAATGTAAGGCATCGTCGTGCACATACTGAATCCGTCGCCAGTTTAATTGGAATGCTCAGCTGACTAATCGACGTGCGCAAAACGACATAAAGAATTCAGTTTGATTGGTCGAAACAAGCTCAATTAACATTACAGTCCTTAATATGATTTCTATTCAAGAGTATCCAAGGTTTTGATTGGTACTGGAATATTTTAAACCACATATATATATATATATATATATATATATATATATATATATATATATATATATATATATATATATAAGTAAATTAAAATATTACAGAATTGTATTATAGCACGATTTACAATTATTAGTGTTTTGGTGATGATCTACGACTTTGTTTTTGGACAATTGTGACAAATTAATTATAAATCAACTAAATTATTCATAAAATTCTTTCACCATGATGACAAATCTCTTTGCCTTTTTATATGCCATGAAGAGGAAGAAAAAGAAAAAGGTACAGACATCACAAAGAGACATTTTAGAATACTTCTGAACTCCATTCTACTAAATTAATAGGTAATTTTTTATTAAATTTAAAAATTTGATGTACATTTCTTATTAGCGGTTTACTTTTTGAATTAGAAAAAGACAGGTAATCGCTAACACCTCGCAAAGGAAACCGGAGAAATAAAATCATTAGTAATTGGGCAAGTTCACATAGCGATTAGTTAAGTAGTAATTACATACATGAATTAGACGTAAAGCAGGAAACTCAAATTGCTTTGACTTTCTACTAGCTGCGAAACTAGTGGCAATTCATTTCGATATTTTACTATAAGATTAAAATTGAGAATAGATTTTGATTTTATTTTAATGCATCGGTATTCACAGTAGTAGCTATATCATGGCTGCAGCACGGATGCGTCCGTTCTTATGGAGAAGGACTACAGTCTCACAGAATACCAGTGTAAAACAGCAATATAATGCTGCTCAGCATAATAATGTGTTTCATATTTTTTTTTATAGGATAGGATGACAAACGAGCACACAGTCCACCTGATGGTAAGTGGTTGCTGTGGCCCATAGACATCTACATTTATCCTCGTTTGCGAATCAAAATGCAGATACGTTGTCACCCGTGAGGTCTAAGATGGAATGCCTCTTTTCCAGTAAAACGGGTCACCGGTTCTCTACACTTACCATACGAAACACAGCAGTGTTAAGCTGCTATTTGACGCTGGTATTCTGTGAGAGCGTGGTCCTTCCCCGGTCGAGCCGACCCATTCGTGCTACAACTATACTACCAATATAGCTGCAGCATGGCTCTACCACGTAATAAGTACAGAACCTGCGATTCTTTTTTTTTTTCTGGTAACAAGGCATTCTATCTTAGTCCTCAGGGGCGACAACGCTTCGCGTTCTTGATCGAGGATAGATACAACTGTCTATGGGCTACAGCATCTACTTACCATCAGGTGGACTGTCTACTCGTTTGTCACCCTTATTCTACAAAAAATATGTAAGGCAGGTATATGATATATTTCAAGCTTTGAAGCTTTTTGTGTGCTTTATATCTAAAGTATTACGTCAGTAAAAATTAAAAAGCGATTCGTTAAAATTGCGCAAAAAAGTAAACACGCAAGGCGTCTTTCCAAAACGGAATGAAAATGTGCGCGGAAAGCGAAAGAAATTAAAATTTTTGCTCGACGACAAGTCGTGATTGCTGAGATACAAAGATGGCGGCGGTTGGTGTTGAATTTTTTGCTGAAATTCCCCTTTTGTAGCGGTGTCGTGTTGTAACTAATGTTACTGCCAAGAACCCTAGTTAAAGAGGAAACTATTTGCGAGTTTTTATGAATTGTCTGGAAATAAAAGGATTAATTTATGGTTATCAAATAATCTTGAGTATTTTTATAAGATCCACGTGTACTTTTTATAATAAAACTTTTGTTTCACCTCCAAAGAGCCTTACATATTCATGTGACCGTCTCCTGCGCTGTAGATAGTTCGAGCATAAGCCGGAGCTTATCATCAAAATTAGACATTTTATATGCATATACATTACTAAATACACATATCTATCTATCTATCTTCTTTATAACCCGGACAGCTTTTTAATGTATGTATGTTTATACGCTTAAATCAATTAATTATACATCTATGCATATTAGGAGTGGGCTGTAACAGGTAAAATCGCATATATGTTCCGCCTGTTCCAGTATCTACCACATAAATAACAGTACCAAAAACATGTTACAAAATAGCAGTCTATTACTGCAGTTTTGTAGGTACTTCTCTTTCGAACTAAGGTGTTGAACCTATGCGAGAAAAGGACAGAGTTTGTGACAACTGTAACAGGGTGTCATGTAACGGTAACATTTTGTATGAATAAAGAAAAACTTGTGACTTTCTTTTAGTGGATTCATTATCTCGTGGAACAAGAGCTGTTCTTTCAGTTTGTTTGTCACAGTTACAGTTTGCTATTGTAAGATATTTCCATAGAGTACTTCCTTTTCAAACTAAGATGTTGGACTAAGATGTTGCGAGAAAAGGAAAGAGATTGTGACAAGTGACAGGGTGTCACAGTAACATTTTTTATCTTATTTTAACTACGGTAACTATCATAATATGTATGAATAAAGAAAAAGTTGTGACTGTATTTTAGTGGATTTGTTATCTCGTGGAACAAGCTGTTCTTTCAGTTGGTTTGTCACAGATACAGTCTGCTATCTTAAGATACCTGTTTTTTTATCTGTTACGATAAATTGGCCTCATTCCTAATGCATATGCAACCTCCGGTAGAATAGTAGCGACTTATATAACAAGCAAAATACTTAAAACAGTAATTAAAAAACCTAACTGCATAAAGTGTAGAGAAAAGAGAAAAGTTCAATTCAACCTAGTACTATAGTCCAGATTATTAAAATCTATCAGGCCGGTTAGGCTACACGGAGCGTGCCAAAGAATAACGATAGACATACACACATATCCGAAAAACATTAATCTCCTTCTGGGCGACCGGGTAAAAAGGGAGTAGAATTGAAAAGGTAACGGTCGTCATTCCCTCTAGAAATAAAAATATTACACGTTGTTCGTATAAGATATAGGCTTGTATATTGTAATATATATAGCGAGTGATTTACATAATAATTTATTCTGGGCATTCACTCGGCTTTGGCATTTTTGTTTAAAATATGAATTTCCATTTTTTAACAAGTCAGCCTAGTAGCAAATAAGCTATTGATATCATCGACTATAGAACGAGGTTTGGATGTTGATGAAGGATGTTTTACCTTGTTCTACGAATTAAAACATCTACGAAAATTGATTAAAATATATTTAAATTATGTAAAAGCTGTTTATTTTTTTTTGATAATGCGTTATGGAATGATGCCAACATGTAACGACACTTAAAAAAAAAAACAATTATGGTCTCTAAAAATGAATCTTCTTTTACTTCATTAGCACTCCCATTGCAGGGAGACGCTACGAGCACCACGCTTGGCATACGAATTGGTAAACGCAACAGCAGTTCGCCGTGCAACTTTGACGCTGATCCCTGCCGTCGAGGTCTGAGTAGTATGTATAACGTCTGGCATAAACGAGGTGGTTATATTGCCATCATGCGAAAGCCTTGTGATTTATTTAGGCTTTTCACAACCGTCACTTCTTAAGACACTCACGGAATAAAATGTGAGGATGGACTTGTACACCGTTAAGACACGATAACAGAAAACTTGCCGAAAATCTATTTGACTTTTCAAGTGAACAATTTGTCTACACCAGAACAAAAAAATGAAAGGCGTACATTTAATTAGACAACCCACTCATAAAACCAGTCGGTGCAATTTGTTTGATTCAATAATTTGGCGTGTAACCGAAAGTATGAAGTATATAGTAAGTTAGAGGTAGAAACGGATATGCAATTTTGATCTTTATGACGAAACATTTAGGCAAATTATGTAATTTAGCGACTTTCAATTTTGTTACAATCTTATATAACTATCAATATCAATATAATTAAATGAACATTTTTACATAAGTTTAGACAATATTATATAGTTACACATTTATACCTAGACTTTTTTATAGGAGTAAGGGTGACGAAACAAGTACAAAATCTATCTGATGGTATATCTCCACTAAATTGTGGTCCATAGACACCTACATCTTGATTTAGAATCAAAATACAGTGTAGCCAACTCGAGGAACTAAAATGGAATACCTCGTTCCCAGTAAAAAGGGTTTTCCGGTTCTCTTCACACAACATTATTCTACCATTTGACATTGGTATTATCTAACGTGATCCTTCCCCGGTGGAGTCGACCAATTCGTGCTGCAGGCATCATAGAATACGAAATGGCTACCAACGTACAAAACATCATATAGTTTGTACATAAAACAAGAATAAAATTAACAAACACAATTTCTAAAGTAGTGTGGAATAAATACTACGCATTTTTCTCTTATTCCTTATACGAACACCTGCGGTTATTAATCACATAATACTGGATCTGTCAAGCCTTCATAAGCTTAATAAGATATCAACGAATGTGATTCACTTTCAACAGTAATAGCTCTAATTATGTTTAACAATCTGTCAATTTATTATCGGTCGATGGTCTAGTGATTGCCGCGTTGGTCTAGTGGTTGTAGTCGCGACTGTTGATCATGAGGTCCGGGGTTCGAAGCCCGGGTCGGGAAGAAAATCAGCTATTGGTTATTCTATCCAAAAATTTTCAGTAGCATTCCTGATTCAGGAACGTAGCGGCGATTAAACTCCGTGTCTCAGAAAGTACGTAAAGTCGTTGGTTCTACACCTGATCTTTCTCTGGTCGTGTCGGATTGCTGACTGTGAGAGTGAAGAAATAGAAAGTGCACACATAATGCTGCCCTGCGCTGGTGCCATGGCTAGTCTCCGTTGAGACTGGCTGACATGACAGAAATTCGTTCTGGGAAACATTATTACATGTGGCTCGAAAACCTATGCTTGATTGCAGAAGAACCACGTTGTGTAGGTAATCAAGTGTGCAGTAGCAGTATACTTTTGCGCTGGTATGTTTCATACGGCGGTGTATATTGCAACAATGCTTTTCAGCAAATTACAGAACGTAATGGTAAAGGGTAAAGATACGAACCACAAAGTTTGAATCCGTCATTCGACTACTGTCGTGAACCAAACCTAAGATTAAGTAGTCATGTTAATGTCATTGCTAAAGACATCGTTAAAGACATTGCTAGATATTACTTACTTACTTACTTATCTTCACGCACACATCCCTGACGGCGAAGCCAGAGAGAACAGATCGCCAAGTGTCACGATCCTTACATACCTCTTTCGCTTCTTTCAGATTCATTATCTTTGTCATACATGCACGTCTAGGTATCCGAGTACGCTTGACCCTCCCCTCTTCGAGCAATTTGCTCACATGGTCTTCGAAAGTTAGTCTCGGTCTACCTCGACACCTTTAAATATTAACTTTCGCGCTATATATTTTCTTCACCATTCGGTCTTCACTCATTCGCTCAACGTGGCCAAACCATCGAAGCACGCCCTTATAAATTTTTGTGATAAGGTCATCTTTCAAACCTGCCATATTGCGAATCTCTTGTGCGGCGTTACCATAGCCGACCGAATGCTAGATATTAAAAAATAATAATGCAATACTCTGGTTGTTTGTCCTCGTTATTAAAAAAAATATACATTTAATTGTTTGTGTCTTTTTTGATGAGATTTTAAGGGTTTCAATTTTTTGCAGCCTCGACCCTTCAGTAGATGGAACGACGACCTAATGAAACATGCAGGTAGTTGATGGATACAAGTGGCTCCATACACAGTACTTTGTAGCAATATATCAAGGAGGCCTATGTTCAACAGTGGAATTTTAATGTACAATGTTGTCTATTATACATAACCACTATAAACATTCTTGCATTAAAATGTCAATATAAACAATACACTTAATGGGTTGTCGTTTCGCCATATTGGATTCAACTCCGGCAGTTATTTACAACACAGTCACTGTTGTTAACTATAAAAGGCTTAAACGAGTACCAAACAACATACCTGTGTAGCCGGGCGGACAGTCGCACTCGAACGTATGCAGTGACGTAAGTCGACACGTCGCTCCGTTGAGACATGGCGCGGAGTCGCAGGCAGCTGGCACTCGTATCTCGCAAAGCGACGCGCTGAAGCCGAGGGGACAGTCGCAGGCGAAGGACGGTGGTCCGCCGCCGACTCCTGGACGGACCCGGCAAGTGCCGCCGTTCTGGCACCGGGGGCTCGATTCGCTATGGCACGGATTCAGATGCTGGCAGAACTCGCCGGCGTATCGGGACGTGCAGCTGTAACAAAAACAAATATTGTTAGTCAAGTCGATTTTTTAAGTATTGTACAAACGTACAAAAGGTTTTTTTGGCCTAATAAAATAGATACAACAATGACAACGATGATTAATAAAAGAAAGTCAATGTATGTCACGTCTAACGTTAGCAGACATAACATATTTTTTATTTATAATGGTGACAAACGAGCTCTCAGCCCACCTGATGGTAAGTGGATGCTGAGGTCCATAAACATCTACATCTATCCCAGATTAAGAATCAAAATTTAGATGCGTTGTCACCCCTGAGGACTGAGATGGAATGCCTCGCTTCCAATAAAAAGTAACAGCAGAATTCAGCTGCTATTTTACGCAAGTATTCTATGAGAGCGTGGTCTTTCCCTGGTCGAACCGACCCATTCGTGCTGCAATTAAAATATCGCTGCAGCGTGGCTGTACGACGTTCCATATTATTTAAATAAAAAAATAATAGGCGAAGCTTAATTCGTCCCATGTTTCGCAAAGGAATAGATGGTTAACATAGAGCTAACACTCAAAACGGGTCCACGTAGATGCAACACCGGCGCGCCGCAACGGTGAGCCCCCGGCAGGCGAGCGCTATCGCGAGCGCCGGACGTCGCCAATAAATAAAGCCGATACGTTGCGGACACGACCGTGTGACATGCGCCTGCGCACACACTATCGCCTTTTGTACTCGCTTACCTCTGAATTTAAAACGTTTTCTAGGTTTGCATTATGAATATACGGCATTATAATAATATATTGCAGTTTGTTGTATGACAATGAAATAGGAAACAAAACATATTTCTAGGAGAACATGTCGAATGATCTTAAAACAAACCTCATTTGCTTAAAAAAATGTAAATCTGCAATTACTATTTTATTTTAATTCAATATTTTTATTACAATATTCACCTTCTTGCCAGATAACATACGTCTCAGAATCCTATAACAAAGTTGAATGAATAAAATAAAGTGTAATATGTATTTAAAAAATATTTAACTATACTTTATTTCCAATAACTGTCAATTTCTAAACGAAAAAGTTGTGTATAACGATAATCCAAAATAAATATTAACACAGTCAACAATTTGACAACGAATATAACACAAACTTAATATTTAAAATGATTTCCGAACAATCGAATAAATACAACCAATCATCATGCATATGACCCAAAACGTGGACCCACGTCTATATTAATATTCCACTAGACGAAGTCAATCTCTCTTATTATCGTATCCGAAATTGTTATACTAACGATGTTTGTGAGAAAATCGTCTATTTCAATAGACATTCAGAATTTATAGTTATTTGAAAATTTTCACTTACTAAAATATTCAACCTCTGTCTATTACTAAGGTTATTCTCCATCTCACTATGTTAGATAATAGATAAGGATTAAGTCAAGTTACTAAATGAAGTGTATAAGGGAATAGTTTTAATATTGCCACTAATATCTCAAGCACTTAAAGCCACTATTTTTGGAGGTTAAAAACCGGCCAAGTGCGAGTCGGACTCGCCCATGAATGGTTCCATACCATCGTCTAAGATTTAATACTATTTATGTAAAAAAAATAACGTTTCTAGTATTTTTATATTTTATTATTTGTTGTAATACAGGCAACAGAAACACACATTCTGTGAAATTTTCAACTGTCTACCTATTACGGATCTTGAGATACAGTCCGGTGACAGACGGACGGACGGACGGACGGACGGACGGACGGACGGACGGACGGACGGACGGACGGACGGACGGACGGACGAACAGACGGACGACGGATAGCGGAGGCTTAGTAATAGGGTCCCGTTGGTTACCCTTCCAGTGCGGGACCCTAAAATCGAACTGCATGAGAGGAGAACTTTGAGAAATTTATTTACCTGGATTTAAAATAATTTTATTTCCTACGAAACATGCCTCACATTATCGTTAGCGGCAACGTATCAAATATTGCACTATTTTTTTATATCTGTTACAGCCATTAGCGTCCACTGCTGAACATGGGCCTCCCTCATAGATTGCCCCAGATATGTGCACAGTTACCACGCTTGGCAAGCGGGTTGGCAACCATAATTTTTAGTCGTTATTAGGAAGACGCTCTGCCCATCACCTGATTTGTTTCCCTCTGTCGCCGCTTACGAAACCCACGGGATGATATGGGGTAGTGGTTGTTCTTACACCGCCATACACGGCTTTTATATAAAAAAAAATCTCAAGCGAACCAACAGTTCACCTGGTGGTAAGCTGCTCCTACAGCCCATGGACTATAACCAAATTTAAACGAATAAAGCAACAGATGCGCTGTCAACACTAAGGACAAAGATGACATGTCTCTAACTAAACCTGTAATTATAATTACTTTTTACACCTTTCAGACTGGAACACATTAGCAGGGCTGCTTGGTGACAGAAATAGGTAAGAGAGTAGTACCCTACCCAGACGGAATACCAGGCAGAAAAGGAATCCTAAAACCTAGTCAACTAGGTAATAGATCTATGATCTAATGTGTGTTTTTTACGTCGTAGAGCCATGCTGCAGTTATATTAATAGTATAGTTGTAGCACGAATGGGTCGGCTCAACCGGGGAAGGACCACGCTCTCACAGAACACCAGCGTAAAATAGCAGCTTCATGCTGCTGTGGAAACGAGGCATTATATCTTAATCCTCACGGGTGACAACGCATCTGCATTTTGATTCGCAAACGAGGATAGATGTATATGGGCCACAGCAACCACTTACCATCAGGTGGACTGTGTGCTCGTTTGTCATCCTAATTCTATAAAAAAAAACCAAACGACTGTGCAACCACATATGTATTACGAAGGGTAAGATAACCAGTATAATTTAACGCTTTGAGGCAATTCATCGGTAGCCTTGTTTGCTTGATGTTGGTTGCAAATGTCCTGGACTGCAAAAAAAACCTTTAAAAAAATTTGAACCATAGTTTAAGCCCAAGATTATTATATATAGTTTTTCTAAGGGATATTTGTGTAGCTTTTCGTGGTGTATTCCGACGGTAAATGTAGATACTGAATATTTCCAACGTTCAAGTTGATGCAGACTTGTAGTTTGTGAGCCGGCGTGGGCGGCCTCGGGGCCTGTTCCTTCACACCCACGCCTTGACCTCAGGGGGCCGAGGTGCTTGCACTGCACTGAATGTAGATGAATTTACCGTGCAATATATCTTTAATATTTTGTTTAATAGTTGAAATAAATAAGAAATTTTAAAAAAACGTTACTCCTACAAGATCTTTACCTTTATCGTGGAGGCGCTCTACATACATAAATTTCACATGGACTAAATATCCAGAACAAGAAAAATTATTTATAGGTCAAACAATTGTTTCACGCGGGATTTGAACCTTGTGGCCTTGTAGCGTCTGGATCAAACGCTTAGTCATCTGATTCATTCTACGTCAGATTAAACAGAAAAGGCATTTTTGTCATATATGAAAGAAAAAAAAATCACACATGGACAATTAAGTAATTAAATATCCAAACGTCAACCACGAGATTGGTCAGCAATCGACAAAAAAAGCGAACAATGAAACGACCGAACTGTTTCATGCTACAATTGAAAATAACGATAAATTATCTTGAACGGTCTCGTACAATATAATTGCATGGACTAAGACGTGAGAAAATTGTTAAATAGACTGTACTCCACGTTTATGACAGTCGGAGAGTTCGAAATGAAACATAGGACCTACCGAGCCGTTAATTACCGCATAACGAGACAGCGTAGCATCGCGGAATGACAACGGGCGACTAGCGACTACCTGCAGGCGGTTATCTTTCAAAATAACAAACCGACGGGCCGCCTTTGTTCGGCGCTCGAACAGTTCGCGAGAGCTAAATCTTCATTACCTTGTGCACTATAAATTAATATTGCTGAACCTATCGGCGATCTACTTGTGCCGTTTGGTGAAGAAGCACGCTCTCAAGCAGACACAGGCTGTAAATTGTTTATACAGAAAGTTGTAAGTTTTCTAATAGTTATTTACTTTTTTATTTTTATCAAAATATTTATTATTTACTCTCTTTACAAGCCTCTTAATTGTTTGACAACAGACAAAAGACAGTTTGTTTCACGTTAAAAGTACCTTGACCAGTGGCTACAGCGTTACCTAATCGCGAAATTTGACATTGCCGTCAAATTCCACATTAAACCATAAAACGTATTTTTCATGATATTTCACTAAAGTTCCTGAAATTGTAAATAATTGTTTTATTTTAAGACATGAATACTTTTGTAACAAATCTTAAAAGAGAGTAACGGCGGCGTTAATAAAAGTAAATTGGTATTTTCTTAATAAAGTATTATTAAAAATAAAGTAGTATTATAATTACAGCAATCAGCGTCGTCTTGTATTACTGTAACACTATTAAAGTCTACTGGTGAACATAGGCTTTCCCCATAGATTGCCTTGATAGGAGATATTTGCCATAGTTGCCAAGACCTAATATAGCTAGCGCAATATATTAGGTGTTCTGTGGTTGCCACGGTTGGCAAGTGGATTAGCAACCGCAATTTTCTATTTTAGTCGTTATTCGGAAGTCGCTGCTGCCCATCTCCAATCAATCATCTGATTTGTTTCCCTCTGTCGTCTCTTACGACACCCATGATATGGGTGTAAGTGGATATTCATACACCGCCATTACTAAATAAATCGTATTAATCAAGCATAAATCAACGCCTCCAAAATATATAATACAGAAAAGCTGGCGAAGTATAACCTTATCTAGAATTTTAAAGCTCAGGTTCCGTCTTGCGGGAAGCTCATGCGCAGTGTCTGTGATAAGTATAAGTGCATTCAAGCAGATTTCTACGGTTAGGTAATTAGATATTATATATTCAATGATATTTTAAATTGTGGTCTAAATATGTTTATATTTGCTGTTTCGTTAATACAAAACACACTGTTAGTGAAAATATTCAATTACTAGCTAGACAAGCCTTTGTATAACACGTAGTAAAGAAAAGCCGCTTGTGAA